GGCGGCGGCGCGTGGGGGACGCTGCGGGGGTGGGTGCAGAGGAGCCCGCAGAAGGGTGCTGCCGCCAAAGCGGCAAGCACGGAGCAGCAGCAGCAGCAGCAGCAGCAGCAGCAGCAGCAGCAGGAGGAGGAGCAGCCGGCGCAGGGGCCTGTGCTTGCGAAGGGCAGCGTGCACCTCGTTTGGCCGGCGGTGGACGAGGTCCAAAACAGCATCCAAGGCTGGCATGCAGGTAGGCGGCCGCGAGCGCCCGCGAGCGCCACCCCTCGCTCTCGATCTGGGGCGTGCGCCCTGCCCAGTCACGCATGCCATCTGGCCAGACTGCCTGCCGCACCATACGGCGGGCAGCACACTGCTCAACCCCCATCTGCTTTGCACGAGAGCCCCTGCGCTGCACGTACTCTGCCCAACCGCTGCCTTGCTGGCCAGCCGGCTCGCCTGACCCCAAGCCACCAGTCTTGCCTCGCTTCGCCACTTCTCGCCTCGCCTGGCCCCGCCTTCCCCTGACTCGTGACCCCCCGCAATCCCGACCCGGACGCATCCGCAAAGGGCGCAGCATCCCGGGCCGCCAGAGGCTGGTGGAGAAGCCATTCCTGCAGCAGTTCTGGCGGCGGTTCGACGGCTCCCCCTGCGGCCGCCAGCGTGCCATGCCGCACATCAAGGCGCGAAACGCGCGCGAGCGTGCGCGCGTGCGTGCGGCCCGTCGCTGCCACTGTGGTGCTGGTTCCGGCCCGTCCCGCTACCCCTGCCTTGCCGCCTGCGGCTGGCTCCGCGGTCGCGGGCACTCACGTTGTGCTGGGTTTGTGCATGGCCGTGAGATTGAAGATGAGGAGGCGCCCCACCCTGACGCCACTTTGACCCGTCCGCTCGGAAACAAGCAGCACAACGCTTCTGCCGCAGCAATTCATCCCCCCCCCACACCACACACACACACACACACACACACACACACACAGCCACCGCAATCAAACGGCGCCATCGCGCCACGCCCCCCACCCCCTGCCGCAGACCTACCTGCGTTTCGACCCCGCCACACGGCGTCTACCCTGGATGCTCGTAGCCAGCCACAACCTCTCAGGTGGGCCGGACGACGGGCGCGCGTCCCCACCAGGCGCCCGCCGCCCGCACCTGGCACGCATGTAGCGGTGGGGGGGCCGCCAAGTGCAAGACAAGGGGCGCGCCTGCCATGCACGCTCGCTCCCAGCACCCACCTCCCATATCAGCCTCCGACGGCCGGCGTGCACCGGTCGTTCGCGCGGGTGCGTCCGCAGGCGCCGCCTGGGGCAAGCGCGAGCGCGTGATGGAGCGCGGGGGCGGGCAGCTCTATATCTTGTCATACGAGCTGGGGGCGCTGTGCCTGCCGAGCCTCGAGGCGGCGTATCGCGCCCACCGCCACCGCGGGTTCTCCGCGTTGCCGACGGCGGCGGATGCGGGCAGGAGCGGCGGCGGCGGCGGCGACGGGGCGCGCGTTTTGGAGCCCGGCGGCGGCAGGCAGCAGCAGCAGCAGCAGGAGCAGCAGGAGCAGCAGCAGGAGGAGCAGCAGGAGGAGCAGCATGAGGAGCAGCAGCAGCAGCAGCAGCGGCAGCAGCAGCAGGAGCAAAATGAGCAGCAGCAGGAGGTCGCGTTCTACGCGGCCCGCCAGGCCTCGCCCGCGGTGCCTCCCGCTGGAGCGGCACCGCCCGCGCGCGTCCTGCTGCCGGTGCCCTACCCCCTCCCGCCGCCGCCCTACCGGCCGGGCGACCTGCCTTGGGCCTGCGACGTGGACCCTTCATACTTTGGTGGGCGGCGCGACATGTTTGGGCGCAGCATCCTTGACTACCGGGGGGCGCCGCACCCCCTCTACTGGCCGGCATAGGCGCTGCCAGCGGTGGCGCATCGCGGCCCCCGGGACCTGCAGGCGGGGGCGCGGCTGCCGGTCGGGGAATGTACAACGCATCAAGCGGGCCCCCTGCACCCAGGATGGCTAACTCAATCATGCTTGCATGCTCAAGGGTGACGTGTATTTGTGATCTGCCTGTATTACTCCTGCTTCTGCTGTGGATAATGCAACGGTATGCGAGCGGCCCGCGCACATGCGTGGGCTGTGCCATGAATATTGAATACGAGTGCCTCCACAACATGAGTGCAACTGCAAGCGCGTGACCGGCACGCAGCAGATAGGTCTGCGCGGCCTGCAGGCGGAAGGCAGGATGGATGCACGGCCTCAAAACGCGCCGCGACGGACTGCGATGCACCCCCGAGTGTCGGGCTTGCCGTCTGCCGGCTTGATGGCCGCAGCAGGGGCGCGGCGCCAGCCGGGCGTTCAGGTTCGTTTGACGTTCGACGGTAATGAGGCGGGGTTTAGTCAACCAACACACACTCTCTGCTTATGTATATGAACGGCAGAGGCACTGCCCTCCCCACGCGCCGACGCGCCGCATGGCTGTGTGTGGGCGCTGCCGGCGTGCAGGGCCTGCTGCGGGTCGCGACCCGTGGAATAGCAACAGGTCGTGTGCCAAGCAAGGGGGCCAACAGGCCAAGCCTCGGCCGCGGTGCCCATCACATCATGAATTCAGCGGCGTTGCTCAAGTGAGAGGCCGCCCAGTGCTGCGCGTTCCTCCGATGAGCATGCCGGGGCCCCGCGACACTCGCGACGCCTCGCTCGGCGCTCTGTGGCATGATGGCAGGCAGGCCCGTGGTTGGCCCCTGAGGCCTGGATGACAGGCGGCGACGTGAAAAGCTGCATGAAGCGATAATGTGCGAGTGCATCGCTAAGAATAAGAAGCACGCGGCGGCGCCCCCGCGGCCAGCGGGGACGCCTCGGGAGGCGAGGCCCCTACGCCCCGGCGCCCAGGGCCGCCGCCGCCTGCTGCTGCTGCTCGTGGCTGCCCCCGAACAGGTCATGCCAAAGGGCGTCTTTGTGCTCTGTCTCATCAGATAGCATCATATCAAGGGACGAGAGCCCCTGGAAGCCTCCCCCCAGGTCCATCGACGGCTGCGGGCCAGCCATGGACACCTGCCGGGCAGCTTCCCCCGTCCCCGCGCCCGCAGCGGGCGGCGGCGGCAGCGGGAGGGGCAGCGGAAGCGGGATCAGCTGCAGGCTGCCGGCCGGCGG